TTTGCAATTTCCGAACATTTCTACTCTGTCTTGTCTGAAGATACACCAGACACAAGCTTGTGTCTGCTTGTCTGTCCTTGGCAGGTAGGAAAGCAGGGGGAAACCTGCTTGCTCTCTGGGATTTCTTTGGTGCCCTGAGTATTGAGGTCATCTGAGTCTTCCTGAAGGCTGGTCTGCCCTCACTTGTCAGATGGGAAAACTGAGGTTCTGAGGGGCAGAGGCCACAGTGGGAGCCATTGGAGGGCCGGAACCTGGGTGTTCTGTCTCCAAATGCCACGTTCCTTCTATGCCATATAGCACCTCCCACCTACAGGGTTTGTTTGCAGAGGACAGTCACATGTGTGCATGTCTGTGGTCCCCACAACAGCCCTGTGGGGTAGGCAGTGGGGGCCCCACCAGCTCCCCCATTCCACTGACACAGACACAGAAGCTCAGAGAGCTGAAGGGACCTGTCCAGCATCATGGTTAGACCAAATGACCAGAACTGAGTGTTTTCTGCCCTTTTCTAAGCTGAACCAATGCATGAGATGACACTAGGGCTTTCTGAACCACCATAAGGACCCCACAAGTGCCCCCAGCCTAGTCCCTCTGTGTTCCTCAAGTATCACCAGAAGCCCAGCAAGGCCTCCTTGCACATGTAAAGGGCCTATGGTATCTGGTCGTGCACAAAAAAAACAGCATTCAAATGGCTGTTATATAGGGAATTCAGAACATGGGAAGAAACGAATCAAGGAACACCCCCTGGGGAGGCAGGCTGCTGCAGGCTGAAGGCGGGAAGGAGTTGGATCATGGAGAGGAAGGAGGTAGCCCAGGGAGGTGGGAAAGGGGAGACACTGAGATGAAGGATGAGAGGGGGAAACGGACATTTCTGGAGGTTCCACATTTCAACACAACCTCATGAACTGGGGCTACGATCAGAAACGGGGAGAAGCTTGTTGAGGGTCCCTGGCTAAGGAGGGTAGAAGTGGGACTGGAAGTCAGTCTGTCTCACCCCGACTCCAGGCCCCACCTACGGGATGGGGAGAGGGACCAGTCCATCTTGAGCTTCCCTGTGCAGCACTGTGCTGGGGATCCACCCACAGCACATCATGAATGACACTCCTATTGTTCTCCCAGGGAAATGGGCTCAGAGAAGTGAAACCACGTGCCCAAGGCCACACAGCAAGTTCACTTGAGAGCTCAGGTCCTGTTCAGCCCAGCCTGACGCTCTGCTCTTTCTATCACACTGCACAGCTTCTCCCCATTCGCTCTGCAGAACAGAGCCTAAGGTATGTGGGGCCCAGGGGAGAGCTGGGCACAACCTCCTGAGAGCTTCCAGCTCCGAGCTCCGGACTGCTCAGACCTGTGTGGGCAAGAGGATTGATGCAGAAACACATCCTGGTAGTGTCATCTATCTGCATGTGGCCAAGAACAGCAGGGCCCGTAACAGTGAGACCGATGAGATCTGGTTGGGTGGTGGGATGGTGGATGAATTTTGTTCTTTATTTTATTTGAGATATTTGTGCAGTGCAAAACTCAGTCACCATGACGAGGTTGTGCCTGTGTGGACCAAGCACGAAGTAGAGTGTCACAGGCTAAAAGTGGGTCCCAGGTGGTCAGGGGGTGACTGCCACAGGGCAGTGGTGGCCAGGGAAGCCTTCATGCAGGAGGTGGGGATTGAGCAGATGGGAAGGAGTTAAATGGGCAAAGAGGAAGAAATAAGACTAGGAAGAGAGGACAGGCTCAGCCAAGGCAGACTGAAGGGAGCAAGACAAAACAGATAGTAGTAGAGGCAGAGTGAGAGATGGGGCATGGTAAATGTACTTTCAGGGCTAGGAGGGGTGCTGAACGCAGTGCCCACTCAGTGGGCCACTCTCCAATATCCCCACTCACAGCCTGTCCACGCCCTGCTCATAGACAGTCAGTGACGGGGAACTCACTACCTTACAGGCAGCCTCTTTTGTCCAATAATGGTTCTGACTGTTACAGATTTCTCTTTCCAATTACACTGCTTGCTAAGGAGCCAACTATGTCTCTTTCTCGGTTTCTCCCATGAATTTGAGCCGAGCCACACTCCCTTCCCCTGCTGACCCCACGCAATTGGATTTCAGGGCTTCAGGCTCACCATGGAGCTCCACTTTCTTCCATCTGGTTCATCCTGTGTCCTGTGATCATCTTTCTGTATCCTGACTCTTGCTTTCTTTTTGCCACCCTCCCTGCACTTGTGGGCTCTGAGAGACTGATGGGAAGACTTTGCACATTGCAACAGGACAGAGCCCCGGGAAAGGCCACTAGAAGTCGTCCACCAGATTACCAGCAACCCAAGAGCCGGCACAAACCCACCGAGATCTCCAGGCTCCCGCATGCCCCTCTCCTTCCTGCCCACAGCGACATCCTGGAGACCTTGACTCATGTCTCCTGACATCCAGAGCCCCCAGGCCTACTCTATCTACGCAGGCTTCCAGCCAGATGAACAGATGGAGACCAAGGTCGCTGGTTCACTTGGGCTCGGAGGGCCTGCAGTGGCTTCTTGGGGTCACCCTTTTTCATCTCAGTGCCCACAGACCACCCTTCCAAGATGACTGGGAACCCTGCCAAGACCAATGCCGACCCCACAGCTCAGGCTTCACAGGATTCGCTGGGATCCCTGCTGAGACGTGGAACACCTTCTGTCTGTCTCTGGTCCCCTTGTTCTTCCCCACTACGGGGTGAGCTCCCTTCTGAGTCTCCAAGGGCCTGCAAGCCTCAGCTCTCCTGCAGGATCTGTCAGTCTCCTGGGACTTCTGGTCTCCCTGGGGACATCCCGGCCTCTCCAAGTTTTGAGGCTTCTTGACAGGGAGTTGGCACACACAGCCAGAGAGCTCTCCAGGCTCTCCAGAGCACCTCCTCACTCCCCACTTCTGCTTCTCGTTCTGAAATCTTCTGCTCCCATCCTCTGCCTTCAGCATCATCTTATTTTTGGCACTTCTGTTCCCACGGGGCCCTCCTGCCCCTGCCACCCTGTGACTCACTCCAGGTTGGCTGGCTGGGTTCCCATGCATCTCTGCCCGTCATGTCTTTTCTAGGGTCTCTCTGCACCTGTGCCCTCCTCCTTGGCTGGTTTGTGATGCTGTTGGACCAGTGATTCTGAACACATTCTCTCTCCAGCCTCCTGCCAGCATCCTCCCCTCTTCCCTCTTCTCCAAACTGCCTGAAGTTTCCATGCCTGCCCTGGGCTTCCACACAACCAGAGGACTCACCTGGCCACTGCCCCCAAGGATGCCCTGTCTGTCAATCACTTCATTCCAGAGGGAAGAACCAGGGCCACAGGGCCGTGACCATTTATTGAGCTCTCATGTGGCCCTATGTTCTGAGAGGTCATTTGAGACTTTCTGTGGTCTCTCAGTGAGACCCCAGGGGCTTTGCACTTGCTGTCTCTCTGCCTGGAATACTTTCTCTTCTCAATATTCTGATTTTAGGTCAAATGCAACCTCTTCAGACAGACCTTCCCTGACCAACTCAGATTCTTGTGCCTTTCCTGCAGGTCTCTGTATCTCATTATCATGATGGAACATCTTCATCTGACTTACCATTATCTGAAGTTACCTTACATGTTTGCTTGCTTGCTCCTTTATTGGTTCTCTCCTTTACTAAATTCTAAGCTCCAGGACAGCAGGGACCTTGCTTGTTCCCTTAACCAGTGGCACATAGTATATGCTTAACAAATGCTGGTTAAATAAATGTTGGATAAATAAACGCCCCCACTTCTATTCTCACTCTTACCATCCTGCCCCGCAGACCTGTTCTTATTTCCAGGACATTCCACACTCTGTCAGACCTCTGTGCCTTTGCACGTGGTTGCCCCTACTAGGAGAGCCCTTTCTCTACGATTGGACTTGGAAAGCTCCTATGCATCCTTTAAAACCCAGCTCAATGGCCTCTCCTCCAGGGAGCTCTGCTCCTTCCTTGGCTTTCTCACAACAGCTGCCTCACACCCCTACTGTGGGATTAGCTGTTGGTAGGCCTAAACCCCCAAGGCCATTCAGGCTGGGGGCTCCCATGGGCAGGGGCTGGGCTTGAAACACTGGTGGGTCGGGCTGGAGATGGTCCCAACACTTGGCCTGAGTGCCCAGAGCAGCTTTGCAGAGGGTGTTTGCTGAGCACTGCTGGACACGAAAGACTTTTGGCTGTCCCTGTGAAAAGGGGTCTCACCTGGCTGGTGTCTCACCCCTGCAGGGTCTCCCCACCCCTTCCCTACCCCTGTAGCTGCCAGAGTGAGCTTGTAAAAATGTAAACATGATCAGCTCACCGCTTAAAACCATTCCAGAGAATCCCCATCACACTGGGAATACTTTCCAAACTGCTGACCATGGCCCATGAGGTCTGACCTCTGGCCTCTCCACTCTCTCTATTTCACTGCAGCCTCCAGCCAGACCTGCCTCTGGGCTTTCGCCCCTGTGGTTCCCTCTGCCTGGTGTGCTCTTCCTCGGATAGCCACAAGGTCAGCTCCTCCTCACCACCCACACTCAGTGCACCTTGTGCCCCATTTCTTTTCTTCACATGCTTCTCCCAAAAGGAATTTTCACATCGCCTCCCTGCTCCTCACTTCGCCACAAGCTCCCAGGGCTGGGCCTTCCCTGCCTCACTCACTGCCGCAGCCCCGTGCCTGGACCCATTACTGGCACACAGTCAGTGGCCAGAACGCTTATCACCTGACTGATTCTCATCTCTGATGAGAGTGGGCTTTAGTGTTCAGCTTTTTAGTACACCAAGTCACCAGGAGGTCAGTGCCATGAGGGCAGGGATGCTTTGTCCATTTTATTCACTGCAGTCTCCCCAGGGCTCGGGCTGCTGAGTGCACAGTAGGCTCAATGTGTGTTTGCGAGGGAAAAGGAAGGCAGTTCTCACTTGGGGCTAAGCTGGCTGGAGATACCAGAGCCAAGGATAAAAGTCTCTGAGTCCCTTCTACCTCATGAAGGGGACACACAGGCATTCCCTGTGCATGGCGACAGGAGTGAGCCCAACAGCGGGCTGAAGCTCACCTGACAGCAGCATGGGGTCCTTGTCCACAGACTTGCGCACCTGGTCAGACTCTCCGGTCAGGGAGCTCTCATCAATCTTGAGGTCATTGCCCTGGATGAAGAGGCCGTCGGCAGGGAGGAGGTCACCTGGCAAGAGGAAGGGCAGGGGAGTCAGCAGGCTCTCAGCTGTCTAGAAGGCTCCTCCTCGGATAGTTCCCTTAGAGGTATGATTTCCACGGAAGGTTTGCCATCGGGGACAGAATGCTTAGAGCTCCCAGGGTGCGGGAACCAAGATGGTGCCCATAGAAGGCCCATGTGCAGCTCAAGACTGGAGCTAAGGTGCACAGCACAGGCCTGGAGGGCTGAGGCTGGGCCCCTGCCACCCTCACTCAAGCGGGCATGTACTTTATGAAGTGTTTCTCTCAACCTCGCTTGGACTGGGAGTGCAGATCTCCCAACAACTCATTCTTCTTTGGTCTCAGTTATGGTTTGGGGAAATGTTTTGGAAGGAACCAGTCTGTTTTGGCTGGGTTGATAAGACCCCAACCAAGTCACATTGTCAAGGGGAAATCAAGCCCTTTAGGGCAGAGTGAGGAGGGGCACTCAAACCTCTCCCCTAACTTCTGCCTCAACTTACCCAGGACATATCTGGCTCAAACTCCCTTTGGTGCCAGCCTGCCTGTTTTCTCCATGGCAGTAGCACAGGCCCAGAATATCCACTTACCTACTTACACTGTCTCCAATGTCTCCTCTAGCCCAACAACCATCCATGAACAGCCAAATCAGGGATGGGAAATAGAGTTCATCTAATAAGCCCATTCTGAGTATTAGTGGTTGTTGTAGTGCTGTGCTGAGAAGGCTTCTGAGGCCATATCCAGGCTCTGAGCTGTGACTGATTCGTAGTGACTGCTACGGGTGGAAGTTTGGAGAATGGCAGCACACGTGCCATGTATTTGTCATTTCTGATTTAAATGGATTCTGGGATTGTACCTCCTCCAGGAAGTAACCTTCCACCTCCTAAAGGATCTCAGAAGACATCTTAGCTTGGGATCAAACTTCAGGAATGCACCCCCTTCCTTGAGCCAGTCTCTTTGCATCAGCCTGGCCTGTCCCACCTATGCCCAGAATCCAGCTTTAGAACCTGCCTCTGTGGCTGGGACACTTACCATATTTGACCTGGGCTATGTCCCCAACCACGATCTCAGCCACAGGGATCTGGACCACCTGGCCAGCCCGGACCACGGTGAACTTCTGTTCCTGCTCGATGCGGCTCTGCAGGCCCCGGAACTGTTTCTCTTTGCTCCAGTCATTGAAGGCCGTGACCAGGACCACACAGATGACTGAGAGGAGAATGGCAGCCCCCTCGATCCAGCCCGCCTCTGCCTCTCCTTCATCCTCTGCCCCACCCTGGGCTGTTGCGCATCCTGGAAAACCAGACAGAAGCAGGCAGATTGAGGTGAGCCAGGCAGGAGAGGCCTCATGACCTGGATTTATAGCCCAGTTCTGGCAAGTAGCAAGTGTTAAGAATCAAAGGATAATTATCCACTTATTCAATGTGTCTGGGTACCAAACCCTGTGCAGAGTGCTTCACATGGATCATCTCACAGGGAACTCACACTGCCCATTTCACAGATATGGAAGCTGAGGTTTCTCAGAGAGGTCAAGTGACTTGTCCAAGCTATGAAGGGCAAGTAGAAAGCCAGAATGTGAACCCAGGCAGTCTGCGTTCAGAACCCACAGTCTTAGCCTCTGAAGTTTTCTGCCTTTGTTCTAGCTGTGAAATCTAGGGCAAATGACTCTCTTTCTGAAACTCATTTTCTCATCTGCGTAAAATGGGAAGAGTATTCTTTATCTTGGGCACTATTTTGGGAGCTGAAATTTAATGTGGTAAAGTTCATGGACGCTATAGCACAGACAAGACACAGAGGAGAGAAAGGGAGAATTTTCTCTAATTGATGAGAAAAGACAAGGAATTTTTTCTAATTCATGAGAAAAGAGAAAAAGTGAGTTTTTTTTCCCCACAGAATAAATGCAACCATATTGCATGTGCCTTAGAGTCTGAAAAGGCGGTTTTGCCGATGTCCCCTTCTGCTGTAGGAGTCTCATTACATTGCCCAGGCAGGTTGGGAAGACGAGCTGGTTCTAATTCTGTTGCTGCCTCTGTATGATTTTGGACAAGTCATTGCCCTTCCCCAGCATCAGTGGCCTCATCTGCAAAACAGGATCACTGAAACTGCCTTCCAGGGCTCAGGGAGAGGAAGATGGAAGCTCCTGGCCAGAGTTCAGTACACAGGAGGTTCTAACTCAGTCCTTGTCAGACAGCTGAGGAGTGAGCCCCACTCCACAGTGAGGACGCTGATGCTTGAGCTGCAGGCCGCCTGTCTGACCTACAGGGATCCTGCACCCCACACCCTTGCACCACTGTGCCCCTCCCCAGTCTAGACCCCCAAAACTCTCAAGGTCTGCCAGGCCCACAGGGTGAACAGAAAAAGAAGAGCCCAGGCACATCTTATCTGAAGCCGTCAGACCCAAAGGTAGGTCCTACCCATGTGATGCTGGGACTAAGGCCTTTCCACGCCTCTCTCTCATCTCCACAAGGATCCTGAGAGCAAGAGGGGGAGGCTTAGGAGGTGAGGTACCACAGCCAGGCCAGGACATGCCCAGGCCTTCACTTCCCCTGGGACCGGGGGAGTGGCCATTTCCATGGAAAGGAATCTCCAGGAGATTCTGACCATCCTTCCTGGAAAACTCAGTGCAGTTCCCCTCCACGGGTGCCAGGTGGGGCTCTGGACAGCTTGCAAGGCCTGCTGTGCACCCAGCATTAACGCTAACCCTCAAGCTGGCTGAGAGACGGGTGGCGGTTCAGAGAGAAGCAGACACTTACCTGGGGTCACACAGCAGATAATGGGGTTTGAATCTGGGTCTGGAATCTGACACCAGACCTGGCCTGTTCACTCTCCCTGAGCCCAGCAGCCCCCTCTGCCATGTGTTTGCCAAAGATTCATGGCTGAACATCTGGAAATCCAAGTCTGTCTCAAGGAACAGAGAACAGAAGCTTCAAGAGACCCCAGTGGAAGCTTCTGGAAAGCCAGGGGTCAGAATCAACATGACAAGAAGGCCAAGTGGCACTCAAGGAATGTTCATGGGCTTTCGGCTCCTGAGAAGGTCGAGCCCAAGCCTGGGGAGATACGGACTCACTGCGGCCCAGCTGCATGTGCATTGGAAATTTCCAGGTCTTACACTGAACCAGCTGTTCCCTTCGGGCCCGTAAACAATGCCATCATGTGGGGTTCCCAAAGCCACCTTTCTCCCCCCTTGGGAGTTTCAGACTTTTCTAGTAATTTTAAACTGCTTAGTAGGACCCGCCTTGGAGTAATGGTAATCATAATTGTGCTAATGGTAACCAAGTTTGAATCCCAGCTGCGCTAACTGCTGTGTGCCCATGAACTTGCTATGTAACCACTGTGCCTGCTTTGTTTTGTTTTTGCTCCTCTGCAAAATGGCAGGCTCTCTCTCATGAGGCGCTTGACAGGATTAAGAGAGAGACTTCGTGTAAAACACCCACTGCAGTGAGCACACAGTAAATGCTCAGTTAAAGCTGGTGCTTCTTACTTTCCAGTGTGTGGGTGAGCATTATCGCTCAAGTTCCACAGCCTGGCTTTATGAAGCCCTGAGGCCCACATTACAAAGGGGCTCCTGCTGGATTTGAGTGACATATGATGATGGGAGGAGAGGAACTGGGGAATGGTGCCTCCTGTACCACCATGAAGACACCATAGAGACCCCAAAGACTAGGAAACACATGTGAACCTTGCTAAACAGAAACCCAGAACATGGAAATGCATTCTCTTTGGGGCTTAGGGGCACGGAGGGGGAAGAAGTGGGATTATAAAGCCTCATGCTGCATTTTACAAGATTTTTGTTATTCCCTGCCCCTTGCTGTGTGCTCTGGAAATGGGAAGGCTGTTATTTCCCCTGCTGTGTGCTTCCTCAATGGGACCCTCATTAGAGTAGCTACTGGGGCATTTGGACACTTAAGACACAAAGTAAGCTTTCAGGCTCTGGAATCAGAAAGACCTAGTTTAAATCCAGTCTCTGCTGTGTGACTTTAGGTAAGTGACTTGGCCTCTCTCAGCCTCAGGTTAGACAGCTGTGAAGTGAGATAACCTCAGGGATTTGTGAGCTAAGGGCCTGACACCTGATAGATACATGATAAAAGTTGGTCCGCTCCCCTTTTCATGGGCTTTTTTCCCTGGACTGGGCTCTGAAAGCCAAGGGCACAGTGACTGAGTGGGATTTGTACCCTGTTTCAACTTCCAGCCCTACCTGCTGCCCTTGCTGACTCTATACCAAGGAACCCTCAGAGAGCACTCACTCTGCCAGCAAAAGCCAGTTAGCTTTTATCTCCTGAGAACTGTCTGATGGTCACATGGGTGCCCTGGGATGGATAGAAAGTGGGAGTGCAGATCACTGGGGTAGGGATTTGGCCATCTGGAAGCTGTCTGACCCTAGGAACAACTCCTGCTGCCCCTGGAACAATTAAGAAGAGAATCGGAAGGGGAGGGAAGAGGGGAGCAGGTGGGTCCTGCTGAGATCTCCTCTGGGGCTCCCTTGGACTGGGGCAGGGACAGGATCTGGAGATTGTGGCCATAGGGTCCAGGGAACTGCAACTGCTCTCCCTGGACCTAGGGCTGTAGGGGGTGTGGCCTCTCCCCGTCTGTACAAGCTTGGGTACCCACTTGGCCTCTCTGGGCTTGTCTGCATGTTCACCAGTAAAATGGGGAATCTGCCTCCCAGGTGGCTACCAGGGCCTGATATCCAACAAAGATCCTCCAAACTGGTTGAGCCATAAACATTTTCTGAGCACCTACTATGTGCCTGTCACTCTGTTGGCACTCTGGCACTAGGGGAGTTGTCACCAGCAGGGGTAGGGGCAGTGAGTGTGCCAATCCTAGCCCTGACATGAACACGCTGTCTGACCTAGGATAAGTGTCTCTCTGCAGCACCCACAGCCCTGCCACAACTGCTTTCTCAGTGATGAGTATGAGATAAGACCTTCCCAAGGTGACGCACCAGGAAGTGATATAGCCAGGACTCAAAGCAGGCTTCCTAACTTTAAGTTTGGGGATGCTTTTATCCTCCTCACTCCTGCTCATCAGGGGGCATCCAGCCCACCCTGGCCCAGCTTGGCCCAGTGGTTTTAGGGAAAAAGATGAGATGAAGCACGGGGCAGTGCCCCAGCAGTTAGGCATTAGGTAAAACTAGACAGTGTGTACAGACAGCAACAGTGTCACCGCTGGACAAGGGCCCTGCGGTCACTCAGCAAACACAGTCATGTGCCGGGTAAGGTCATTTCTGTTAGTGGCAGACTGCATTTACCACAGTGGTCTCGTAAGATTATAATACTGTATTTTGACTGTACCTCCTCTATGTTTAGATACCAAATACTCACCATTGTGTTACAGCTACCTACAGGATTCAGCATGGTCACATGCGCACAGGTGCCTAGCCTAGGGGCAATGGGCTGCACCACACAGCTCAGGTGTGTAGTGGGCTGTGGTATATCGTACCACGATGTTGGTACGACGATGAAATTGCCTTAGAACATGACATGTCCCTGTCGTTAAGTGACATATGACCGTATCTACTAACCACCTACCATGGGCCAGGTACAGTAAGAAACCCATGCACTCATTGCATGTGTGACTAATTCCACCTGTCACCATTGCCAACGACCAGGCCTGTCTTACGGAGGGAGAAGGTGAAGCCTGGGCAGGGGCAGTCACTTGCTGGGGAGTTGCTGAGCCTGGATTTGAACCCACATCCCTCTGGGACCCCAGCCCCCACTTTGTCATATGCTAAGAGCAGGCCTCCCTCTCTGGAAGATGTGTCTTCTGGTGGGGGGAGGTCGGCCTTATAGTGCTGCCACCATGTTGTATTCCTTTGCCTGCCCCCAGACCTGACCCTGGAATGGGTCCAGTTGTGTGTCTTTCATCCTTGGCTCGAGTTTGTCCCCAGTGCAGGAAGCCTGAGGCCTGACTTGGGGGCCCAGGCCGCAACTGTGGGTGAGTCCCCACCCTCCTCTCTCAGAGCGCCAGTTCCCTCACCTGCCAGGTGGGGTGGGGGTAGGGATGTCGTGTACCTGGCTAGCATCGGAGCTCAGGGCTGAGGATGTCCATTCCAAGGCACTTAAAATAATGGCAAGTGATAAATAAAACGGAATGAGTTCAAACACAATGTGGACACCGGGGATTTGGTGAAGCTGCTGGTGGAGTGTCGTCCGGCCTTCCTATGGGCGCCAGGTTATAAATAAGCCCCCTCCCTGCCTTCCTTCTTCCTTTCCTCTTCCTCCTTCCCTCCAGCCTTCTCCCTTTCCTTCCTTCCTTCTGCTGACAGGCCAGCTTTGCTCCTTCTGTAGAACTTGAGTTTGTTTTGTGCACGGGGCTGCCTGCCCCCTCGAAAGGAAGGCTCTCTGCCTGACTCAGGTCCTAACTCCTGGATCTTTAGACCTGAGGTGAAGGCAGACAGTGGGCCTCTGAGGACTCGACATAATAGGGGCTGGAGGCAAGGGTGACAGACACTAGGGCTTTGGAACCTCTGGCTCTAATAAGCTCACGCTGTCCACCTCTGCTTTGCTGTAGATGATACTAGAATTGCAGGGTGTTGAAAAGAATGTGGCCACTTTTCTGGAAATGGGGACTGATTGGCCACATGGGGAGTGACACCTGCTTCCTGAGGTTTGCTCAGGGCTCCATGCCAAGCGCTTTGCATTATTTTCTTCGATCCTCACGAGAGCTTCACAGGGCAGGTACTATCATTCATTGCATTTTATGGATGAAGACACTGAGGTTGGGCACATGGAGGGCCGCCTGGTTCCAGGGCCAGACAGGCAGAGCCAGGCCCTGTCCCCAGGCTCTGACCACCGGACTCTGGTGCCTTCCGGGATGTGGCAGCAGGTGTCAAAAAGAAATTGGGTGTATTATATGATTTCAAACAAAACTCCCTAGCATCAGAGCAATGGCATAATTTCAACACTGGCTGTTCAGGGAGGGCGCTGTTGGGGAATCTTTGGCCGAAAGTTCCTGGTCTGTGAAATGGGTGTGAGGGTTCACTGAGAACCCAGACGTAAAGCGCCCTGTGTACTGGTGCTCAGTTAGAGCTGCGCCCAGTTTCTGGAAGGCTGTGTGCAGGGAGAAGGGAGCCAAGAAGGCCACATAACTGTCCCTGTCACCTTCCCTGATGAAAGTGATGTCTCTCCCAGGGTGGTTGTTGTTTTTTTTCACTTGTTGACTGGGGATTGATGGAGCCTGAGCCTGATCTGGGGCAAAGGAGCCCTGGCAACACGGGAGGCTTGCAGCTGAGATTCAGGCCAGGGTGAGGGCTTCGGGAGAAGGAGTCAGGATGGTCACAAAGCCCAAGAATGTTTGATCACAGCGAATGTGGATTGTGTGTAGCTGCCTTTGACCAGGGCATGGCCTGAGCTAGTGCCCCGGCCAGAGGCAGGGAAGAGCCGGGGAAGCGCCAGATAGACTCGGGTTGAAAATGCTGCCCTACCGCCTATGGTAGTTTTGTGACTGCAGGCAAGTCCTTTCTCTCTCTGGGCCTTGGTTTCCGAATCTCTAATACGGAAGATTGGAACCACCTGTTTGGGGGTTTAGACGCTCCTCCTGGCACACATGAGGAGCTTGGTCCATGCTTCCCCTGCACCCCCTCCACCACCTGCTATCTAAGTTCTAATCCTGTACTGAATTGGGCTGTATGAGGCCATGTATCTGGGCTGACTCAGTCCTGTCCCTCTCTGAGGAAATGCAGCTGAGGGACAGGACCAAGGAGCCAGACCCCTTGGTCTGAGTCATGGTTCTGCTGCTTTTTATCTGTGTGCCCTTAGTAAGCCATTTACTGTCTCAGGGCCTTGGCTTCCCGGATAATAATAGCACCTACCTATAGGGTGTTGTGAGGATTGAGAATTAAATGGATTTCTATCATAATAGCTCCCAATGAGTGGTAGCTATAAAAATAGTGGGAAGTATTATCATCATGCGTTTGTGTTACACTCTTAGCTTTGTCCAAGCTTATTCCAGTCGCCACGTACTATCTACTTCCATATTTGCCATAAAACTTCTGCAAAGAAGGCATTGTGCATTGCTTATAATGTCCTATGTGACGGTTCATCCCAGAATTCTTGCCAAGAGAAATGTCATCTTCCTAAATACGTTTCCTCCTTGCTGACAATTTGAGCTATGCAAATCTGCCTTTTAGTTTTTAGTTTTATTTTTCATTTTAAAATTATTATTATTATTATTATAGAGATGAGGTTTCACCATGTGGCCCAGGCTGGTCTCGAACTCCTGAGCTCAGGCAATTCACCCGCCTCAGCCTACCAAAGTGCCAGGATTACAGGCGTGAGCCACTGCACCCAGCTTATTATTTTAAAATTCAGTACTTTTTAGTACATTCACAGCAAATCACCCTAATTCCCTTTCTGTCTTGGCTGCCAGGAACCCCAAGTCAGATTTAAATCTCAATCAGAACAGCAATTATAGCTGATTTCTTTGCTTCCATTCCTTTTCCATCTGGCTTTCTATTTGACTGCATCCTGTGAGATGTACCTCTCTTGGGTCTTTAAGCCCTTTATGGCAAGAGGTCATGTAAGAAAAGAAATCAACTTATTATTATGTATAGAATTGAGGTAGTTGGTTTAATAGACTTGGTTATTCAGTTTACTGGGCAATTTTGACTTGGGTGGGGCCAGGGCAATGGATGTTCAAGGGACCTCAGAGACTACCTTTCTATTTAGGGAAAATAAGGCCTATAATGTTATTTCTTATATGTTATCAACTTTTAATTTGCTTTTCTGAAGCTGTGAATATACTAGGGTTATCTATTTATGCAGCATATTCATTAGGAAATGTTGAATCATAACGAATCACAAAAAACTATTTACAATATCCTACTGATTGTAAAAGCAGATTATAAAACAGATCAGCCTGCACAGATGTCAGGGTCGCCCTTACCTGCGTGCTTATTAAAATCCAGCCGTCCCTGGACTCTGGAGAGAGAACCAGGCTCTCTTAGGATGGGGTCTGACACCAGTGCTTTCAACAGGCTCCACAGCAAAATCTGAAAACTCTTTATTAGCTGGTGACCTCCAGCAAGGTAACCCACTTTTCTGTGCCTCGGTTTCCTCATCTTTGTTTGTTTTTTTTTACATTTTTTATTTCCATAGGTTTTTGGGGAACAGGTGGTATTTGGTTACATGAGTAAGTTCTTCAGTGGTGATTTGTGGGAATTTGGTATACTCATCACCCAAGCAGTATACACTGAACCCAAGATTTCCTCATCTTTAAAATGGGCATAACCAGCCGCTACCTCAGGGGGTTGTCAGGATGACATCTCAGCCTAGGACTTGGCACGCTTGTAAGTGCTAAAAAATGCTCACTAAAATGATCACTGTTGCTGGTCCAACTCTTCAGCATTTCACATGGGGAAAACGGGGCTGAGGCCTGGCTCGGCCACCCACTGGCTGTGTTGACTATGCGTGGGGCCCTGCCCCTTGGGCCTCGGTTTTCTCCCCTGTAAGGAGAGGATTATTTGTGTGAGCCATGAGTGCCCCCGGTGTGGATGTGGTGGCCAGGTGTGCAGGGTGGGTCGTGGGTCCGAGGACCATCTTACCTTCGTTGCCCTCGCCAGGTGGGTGGTAGAAGGACAGCCCCAGGGAGATGATGGCGGCGATCTCCAGGATGATGAGCGTCACATCCTGCAGCGCCTCCCACACGAGCTGCAGGAAGGTTTTTGGCTTCTTTGGAGGTATAAAGTTTTGCCCAAAAATTTGCTTTCTCTTTTCCAGGTCTGGAGCGGTGCCTGGCAAACCTGCGGACAGACAGCAGGGAGATTGGCCTGGGGGCCTGGGAGAGACACAGGCGTGTTCTGGGAAGGTAGGGACAGAGAGGGAGAAATGGAGCAAGAAACTTGCAGGTAGCTGGTCCAGGAGCCCAACATCTCTTGGTGCTTTGGGTCCTAAGTGGGTTCCTGCCAAAAGCCAGAGACACCATGCAGTGGGTTGAATGGCAGCCCCCAAAATATATATCCACATCACGATCCCCAGAACCTGTGAATGTGACCTCATTTGGGAAAATATTCTTTGTTTTTGTACTTAAGGATCTCATGTTGAGAGCATCCAGGATTATCTGTCTGGACCCTAAATGCAATGACAGGTATCCTTACAAGAGACAGAGACACAGAGGGAAGATGGCCGTGTAAAAACAGAGGCAGAGATTGGAGTGATGCAGCCACAAGCCAGGAAACAGCTGGGACCACCAGATGCTGGAAGATGCAAGGAAGGGCTGTTCCCTGCTCTTCAGATGGAGGTGGCCCTGCTAACATCTGATTTCTGACTTCTGGCCTCGAGTCATAAGAGAATAAACTTCCCTTGTTTTAAGCCACACACTCAGTCTGTGGTCATTTGCTGTGGCAGCCCCAGGAATCGAATCCACACTCCTATAGCCACCTCGCACCGGCACCCTTCTTCCGCTGTTCCTCCTGTCGAATGCTACGCAGTATTTAGAGAAGAATCAGAAGCCACTGCCTGGATTAAAATCCCAGCGTGACAGCCTTAGCTCTCTAAGCCTCAGTATCCTCTTCTGTAATACGGATGATGGTTGTACCTAACCCATGGGTGGTTGTGCATATCACATGAGGTAATTAATGTCATCCATGAGCATTTATTGAGTACCTACTAAGTGCCTGGCACAGTTGCAGACCCTGGAAAAGGGCAGCCCACCAGACAGACGAGTGCCCACTCAGGAGCAGCCCTTACTGTGGATGCCTTGCAATGTGCTCGGAGTGTGCCTGGTGGACGTGCCGCTGACGCTGGTGGTTTCTCCTCTTCTGGACAAGGCAGTGAGGTATAGCCAGGTGCACCCCACATCACGTGGGGCCCAGACAGAGTGACAGGGGCCCACTTCCACCTACCATCTGCACTTCCAGATAATTCTTCCAGACTTGCAAGTCCACTCTCACACCCCTGCTCAAAGGCCTTGGAAGGCCGCTCAATGTCTTTGGAATAAAGCCCACGTTTCCCAGCCTGGTTCCCTGGCCCCCTCATCTGACCTGCAACCTGTGTCTGCAGCCTTGGCTTTCACCATGTGGCTTCCTCCCAGCAGAGCCAGGCCAGCACTTTGCCTTCCTCCTGCCACACTGTGACCATGCTGTGCCCTTCCCTGCTCTGGCACTGGCTACTGTTTGCCTGTCTCTACATCCCCTTCTAAACTCCCTGGTACCAGGGTATGGACAACCCACAATTGGCAAACCCCAGGTGTACCTGTACCTTGCAAGAGGGGCCTGGAAGGGTGAACCTCTCATGGAGGGAATTCAGGCATGTGACCAGGAGGGGTGTGGCTCTGGTAGGTAGGGCTCCCTCTGTCTACTGCCTGCTGTGCCCCTCAGAGGCTGGTGCTTCTCCTTGTTTCAGCCTTCCTTTCAAGCTGCTCATGTCACCCCAAGTTGCTGGTGTGCCATTTTATTTTTCCATAACAAGTGTCCCGTCACACTCCTGGGCCTTTGCTCCTGCTGTTCAGCAAACCAGGAGCAGCCTTTCCTCCACTCAGCACTATGAACACCCCTCAAGGGCCCCTGTTGGGCAGCTTCCCCTCCACCCCAGGTAGACAGTGGCCCTCTGCCCTTACTTCCCACAGCCTTCCCCTCAGCGGGCTTACTGCTTCCCCAGACCTGTGTCCTACCTGGGCTGTGGCACCTTGGGAGCAAAGACTAGTCTGATTCCTGTCCCTCAGGGCCTGGCACCTGAAGCCTTAGAATCATCCCACCCACTAAATGCAGGTCTGAGTGTGGTGAGCCTGGCCCGAACAGTGCACACAAATGGGTCCTTGCAGTGGGCAATGCCAGTCCTATTGCCGACCCAGCGAACACTAGCTCTTCTTATGTCTTAGTGAGGACAGATGGGGGTGGAAAGGGAGGGGCACACACCCCTCATCAGACCTATGGCCTTCAGTCTGCTCCTGAGAACAGCACTACCAGCATGCTGGGGGTTGCAGGACTGGACCATGTGGCTGTTACATTGATGGGATCTTGTGGTCTAATACATGGTTTTATGATTCTAACAGCCTATTGTTGGTTGCTTCATTTACCCATTCATTAATTCATTCATTCATTCAATTTACGTTTCTGGAGCCCCCACTGTGGGCCTAGCTTGGTTCTGGGAAGAGTGATGCGCATGGAACAGACCTGGCTGCCCATGGATGTAAGAGCTCAGTGGTTCCATGAGTCCAGCAGCCTGTGGTTTGGGAGTCTGTCTGGGGTTCTAGATACGGAGTCTCCTCAGATGCTGACCATGAGATCTCCATCAGGAGCCTCCAAGTATCAGGCTGGCTGAGACACCCACACCAGGGGAGCCCAGGAATGGCTCCTTCCCTAGGAGACCTCACACTAGCCTGCCTGTCAGTACAGGTAAGCTCTGGAGATCCCATGTCCTGCAGGCAGTGAGAACGAGGGAACCCAGAGACAGGTTAGGCTCATTTCATAGATGAGGAGACAGGCTGCTCTGAGACCAAGTTGCTGCCATGGGGCAGCTCCTGGGCCCTGAGAGCCCTGCTAGCCCTGATCTAAGCACATGGGAACACGGCCTCCACTGTTTAATGCCGGCTGGCCGTCTGGGAGGTTGAGGCACAGAGTGTGCAGGCACGGCGCACTGCAGTGTGATGCCAGGAATGGCAGGAAGCTTCCCCGTCTTCCTCCTCTGGTCTAATTCTACCCACAGCCAACAACTGGAATTCCTCTACTTGACCTTTATTCCTTTAATTAAAAGCTCCAATTCCTTTAGACTTTCTGGGAGGGGGAAGCCATCATCAGTTCTGAATGCCATGGTGTGAATGAGTTTCAGGCTTTTTCCTGGAATGGGTTTTGACAAGGGAGAAGGGAGAGTTCAAGAGGGTGGTGGGCCTCTCAGGGAGGGGCTATGACCAGCCAACACAGGCCTGTTATGGCAGTTTGCTGTGGCTTTGGCCAGCCAATTCTTTTCTCTGAGCTGCAGTTTCTCCAGTTCAACAATGGGAGTGTTCAACAAGATGGGTAAGTCCTGAGAATCCCAGGGGTTCTGAGGTCTGCAGGCCCTGAAATGTTTCTCCTAGGGTCACTTTTTGGGGCTCCTCGTAAAATTTGGTGCAAATTAAGGTCTTTGCTAAGAAAAAGTAAGGGTGAGGGCAGCCAATCTTCTGGGCCCTGTCTGATTGATTCCAAGAGAGGGGAGTCTCTGAACCTTCTGAGTTCTGGGATTCAAATGTTCTGGAGTCCGCAGTGTAAATAGTTGATAATGTGAGTGTTCCGTTGTGGAAGTCAGGCCATGTCATGTTGGGGCTCTGTCATGCTGGGAATCCACAGGCCAGGCATTGCGATCCTGAGTCCTGGGACAGCAGAGCAGGGACTGCAAATGTGATAGATGTGGGGCATGGGTGGGTTTTGTGACTGAGTGAAGTAGGTGAGTGGGTGACATTAGGGAGTGGTAGAAACTGGAGCAAAGTGAAGAACCTTGGCCCTTTTCAGCCAAGGTTTTTCAGCTCCTGTGGGGGAATGTGGGCTCAGGGTGGCAGATCTTCCAATCTTCTAAGAGAAGCTGGACATCTGGAATTTGATGTAAAATCTCCCCATTAAAAACATGCCAGGGTCAAGTACAACATACCTGTGGGCTGGATTCAGCCCCTAAGTTGCTAGTTTGAGACCCCCAAGACTATGGGTTGAGACAGGGTGATGTGGCTGGAAGGGGGAGGGGTCGGCGCAGAGCAACTCTCTGTCCCTCCTGCTCCCGGGCAGCTCCCTCCCCAGCCCCCGCCCTTGCCCACTCCCCACAGACTTCTGAGAGGCCCTCTATTTTTCAGAAATAACAACTCAGGGAATAAAAACACTGTGTGTTCTGCAGGGCTCTTCCCATGGCAGTTTCCACAACAAGCATCCCAGAATCAAAATCCAAGATGGGAACCCTGGGCACTGAGGCTCACATGAGTCCTCTGAGATGGTGGAGGTGGCTACGACGTCTTGCTCACTCCCTTCTTCTCAGCAGAAGAATAGCCAAGCCAGAGCTGAGGCTTGGCCCCAACTTCAAATCCCGCCCTAAGAACACAGGCGAGATTTGAACTCGGATGGCCTGCGTTCAAATCCCAGCTCTGAGTGAACTTGGGTCAGTGGCTTCACTTCTCACTGCCTCAGTTTCTCCTTTTGTAAAATGCAGACAGTAGCAGTGCCTATTTTACAGGGTTAGGGAGAGGCTTCAGCAAGAGGTCTCACATAAGGAGCGTAGCGCTGTGCCTGTCACCAGGTAAGTGCACTGTGTCATTATTACCGACCAGTTTTTAGGCTGTGTAGGAGACTAAGCCAGACCTTCCAGAGAGGAAGACTTTGGACTGGCAGGATTTTGACAAGATGGGAAGGGGTCAGTCAAGGTGAGGAGAGGCACAGTGGAAGGACCTTGTGACTGCAGACAAGCCATTTCCCTCCTTTGGGCCTCTGTTTCCCCACATGTGACATGAAGGATTGATCTGGATGAAGGCTAGGGCTGGTGGCTCTGGTACTTGGTATCCAAAGATGGGGGTTTTGAGGACCTGCAGGTAAGACAGCTTGCCTGGTCCAGCCTAACTGTCATGCCCTTCCCAGGAGTTGAATCTTGTGGTCTCTTCCTTTCTGCTGAAAATTAACGCAGATATTTTTGGGAGTGGAAACAACAGAGGCTGGTGTGAGAGATGAATGGCATTGGAGATTCAATTTAGATGAAGGAGCATCTCACCATTTAGCATATTAAAAATTAATACAGGGTGTCAAAGATCACTGGACAAAGGCAGCAAGGCCCTGCAAATTCAGAAACATGA